GCAGTTCTTCAGTCTTTAATAACGCACAGTGTGAATCGGTAAGAAAGCAGAGTTTTCTAAATTTATTTGACCACAGAACCATTTTTTTTTTTCCCAGATAGGTAGTAAATAATTAGAACGAATATGAGAAAGATTAACCTGGTTCATTTCACCTTACCTAGATGACTGAGTTGGCCAGGGCTCTTTTTTGCAAGAACAGAATACCCAACTCAAACTGATTTAAGCCACAGGCTCGCATGACTGGGCAGCGCAAGGCTGCATTTGGCTTCAGGCATTTGTTGGATTCAGATGCTCAAATAATGTCAGTATGGTTCTTTATCTTTCTGGCTCTTATTAGGCTTCATTCCTTAAGTAGGCTTCCTCCCTGTGGCAGACAAGATGGCTCTAGTAGCCCCAAGTTGACATCCTCCCAACTTAGCCACTTCGGTGACAAGAGAAGCTGTCTTTTGTTAACACTAGCATGGAATCCTTGCAGTGATTCTTATTGGCTAGGCTTCTTTGACCTACCCTGAACTGGTCGTTGTGGCCAGGAGGATGGGTTACCCTGGCAAGCTTGGGTCACGTGCCCCATTCCAGTGTCTAGGGAAAGGGAAGTCTGTGATTGACAGTCTTTTTTTTTTTTTTTTTTTTTGAGACAGAGTTTCACTTTTGTTGCCCAGGCTGGAGTACAATGGCATGATCTCGGCTAACCACAACCTCTGCCTCCGGGGTTCAAGCAAATCTCCTGTCTCAGCCTCCTGAGTAGCTGGGATTAGAGGCATGTGCCACCACACCTGGCTAATTTTGTATTTTTAGTAGAGACAGGGTTTCTCTATGTTGGTCAGGCTGGTCTCAAACTCCCAACCTCAGGTGATCCGCCCACCTTGGCCTCCCAAAGTGTTGAGATTACAGGCGTGAGCCACCGTGCCCGGCGATTGACAGTCTTACCATGACCATGTGATATGTATGTTAACTCTAATCCAACCAGTCCTTGATAGGTTGATGTTTGGTTTATTTCTAATCTTTTGTTCTTACTGACAATATAAAGCTAGCTGAGATTTGAACACAGATTTTTCAGATTCCCAGTGCATAATTTGTCATAGCTGTAATGAGTACATTACAGAGGAAAGGAGCCTGGCTGGCAGCCACTTTATTAATTGAATGATATGAATGGAAGCATAGGAATCCAGCAAATGAGGAGAATGAAAGTTCATCAGAAACTTTGAGGACAACTGAAAGAATGTAAGATCCTTAACACTGCAACTCAGATAAAGGAACAGTGGTCATTCAGTATACACATACTAAGTAGGTAGTAGAGTACCACATAGTGTATGGGCTTGCACTCATCTGTCATGACATCTTTGTTTAGCTTCTTTGGGCAAGTTAATTTCTCTGTGTTTCAGTTTGCTCATCTTTAAAGCAAGGATAGTAATACTATCTACCTAATAGGAGTTGTTGTGAATGGTTGATGAGATGACCCTATAAAGGACTTGCCTTGTGTCTGGATATAGTAGTAGTAGTAGTACTATCAGTAAGTATATATGAGTGTATTCCTCCCCTCCCCATTTTTTTCTCAATTATTTTATTCTAACATAATTACAGCTTTACCTGCAGTTATAAAACTTATGCAGAGATCCTTGTACGCTTTACCCAGGTCTCCCATTGGTAACATCTTACAAAACTATAATACAGTATCACAACCAGGATACTGACATTGATACAGTCAAGATACAAAACATTTTCATCACCACAAGGATCCCTCATGTTGCTCTTTTATAGTCATACGCATTCTCCTCTCACCCTGTTCTTTCTTTAATCCCTGGCAACTACTATTCTGTTTTCCATTTCCATAATTTTCCTCATTTCAGACATGTTATATAAAAGTGATCACACAGAATGTAACCTTTTGGGACTGACTTTCTTCATTCAGCATAATTCTCTGGAGAGTCATCCAGGTTAATGCATATATCATTAGTACATTTCTTTTTATTGCTGAATAGTGTTCCATGGCATGGATGTACCATACTTTGTTTAACCATTCACCTTCTGAATGGCATCCAGGTGCTTTCCAGATTTGGGCTATTACAAGGCAAGCTGGTGTAAACATTCATGTACAGGTTTTTGTCTGAATACAAGTCTTCATTTCTCTTGGATAATTGCCCCAGGAATACAATTGCTGGGTTGCATCATGGTTGCATGATTTGTTTAAGAAAATACCAAACTGTTTACTGGAGTGGCTATATCATTTTTCATTCCTTCCAGGACTGTATGAATGATGCAGTTTCTTTGCATCCTTGCCAGTGTTTGGTGGTTTCACTGTTGTCTGTTTTATCCATTCTGAAAGGTGTATACTGATACCTCATTGTGGTTTTAGTTTCTATTGCTGTGGTGGTTAATATTGAATCTCTTTTCACGTGCTTATTTGCCCTCTGTATGTTCTCTTGAAATGTCTTTTGTCTATTTTCTTTTTATGGTTGTGTTTTGACATTAGCCCTTTGTCAGATATGTGGTTTGCAAATATTTTCTTCCACTCTGTAGTTTGACTTTTCAGCCTCTTAAAAGGGTCTTTCTTAAAGCAAAAGTTTTAAATTTTAATGACATTCAATTTATTAATTTTTCTTTTTATGGATTGTGCTTTTGGTGTCACATCTGGGAACTTTTTACCTATCCCTAAGTCCAAAAGATTTTCTCCTGTGATTTTTTTCTAAAAGTTTTATAATTTTATGTTTTACTTTTACTTTTTTTTTTTTGAGACAGGAGTCTCGCTCTGTCACCCAGGCTGGAGTGCAGTGGTACGATCTTGGCTCATTGCAACCTCTGCCTTGTGGGTTCAAGCAATTCTCCTGGCTCAGCCTCCCAAGTAGCTGGGATTAGGGGCATACACCAACACACTCAGCTAATTTTTTGTATTTTTAGTAGATATGTGGTTTCACCATGTTGGCCAAGCTGGTCTTGAACTCCTGACCTCAAGTGATCCACTCGTCTCAGCCTCCCAGAGTGCTGGGATTGCAGGTGTGAGCCACCGCGCCTGGCGTATGTTTTACATTTAAGTCTGTGATCCATTTTGAATTAATTTTTGTATAAGGTGCAAGACTTAGGTCAAGGTTCAGTTTTTGCCTATAAAAGTCCACTTGCTCCAGTACGAATTGTTTAAAAAGCAATCTTCCCTTCATTTAATTGGTTTTGTGAAATATTTATATAGGTCTGTTTCTGAGTTTATTGTTACGTCCCATTGTTCTATATTTATATCCCTCTGCCGATACTACTATCTCAATTATAGCTATCTAATAAGTCTTAAAATTGGGTAGACCAGTTCTTCTTACTTTACTCTTCTCAAAATCGTTTTAAATATATTAGTTTCTGTACATTTCCAGATAAAATTTAGGACAGTCTTGTCTATACCTACAAAAAAATCTTTCTGAGGTTTTGATAGGGATTATTTTAAACTTGTGTGTCAATTTGGTCTCCACTGACACTGCAGAACGTCATCACTGGTTGGGTGGTTGGTTTGAACGTCCAGGACCCTCTGGGGCCTTCTCGGATTCTACACTAGTGGAGTGTGTTAGGGTGCTTGATTGTAGGTGGAAGTCAGAGCTCCCCACTTGTCCTTTGTAGTGTGCCTGGGGGTGGGATTACAGTTTTTTTGGGCTGTGTGTATGTGTTTGTGTTTGGCTGGAGTAGAATGATCATTATCTAAAACTTTTCTGTCTTCCTAGGCTGCCCTTTGTATAGTTCTTTAATGAGAAAGCAGGCTTTTATTGGGGGGTTTTATCGTTGGCATCTCTTGCCATTTCTGATTGCTGGGATCTTCAGTTCCATGTGTGAGCTGTAGGAGGCCAAAGAAAACCCAAGGAACTCATCATCATATTCTTTGGGTCCTGAGGTTCGTAGCCAGTCTGCCTTCTTCTGTCTACCTTTCAGAGTCTTCTTATGCTTGTTTTATATATAATGTCCTGAGTTTTATTTGTATTTTGCTGGCAGGGCAGGGAAAAATGTGCTTTTCTTCTTGCAAGCTGTGTCCACATTTTCTTTTTTTAATTATAAAAATTTTGATGATTTAGAAAAATCATATAATGAACATGAACCTACCTATTTTCTAGTTTTAAGAGTTGTAAATTCTTTTTAGTATGTCTTAATCTATTTTTTCTTTCTTTTTTTTTTTTTTTTTGTTGAGATGGAGTTTCACTCTGTTGCCCAGGCTGGAGTGCAAGGTTACACTCTTGACTCACTGCATCCTCTGCCTCCTGGGTTCTAGCGATTCTCCTTCCTCAGCCTCCTGAGTAGCTGAAACTACAGGTGTACACCACCATGCCCACCTAAATTTTGTACTTTTAAAAGAGATGGGGTTTTACCATGTTGGCCAGGCTGGTCTCAAACTCCTGACTTCAGGTGATACACCGGCCTTGGCCTCCCAAAGTGCTGGGATTACAGGCATAAGCCACCGTGCCCAGCCAGTCTATTTTTTTCTGAGGTCCTTTTAAAGTAAGTTATAGACATAGTGACATTTCACTTTTAAATATTCAGTATGCATCTCTAAAAAATAAAATTTTTGAATATAAGGACAATACTTTATATCGAATGATTTATATTATCTTCATATTATCTAATATCCAGCTCATATTCTGATGTCCTTAGTTTTTCCCAAAATTTCTTAGAGCTTGACAAAGAAAGATACAATCAAGAACATGAATTGCCTTTAGTTGTTAGGCTTTTACGCTTCATGTAATCTGAAACAGTTCCTCTCCTACGTGACATTGATTTGTTGAAGAAATAGTTCCTGTTGAACCTTGGAATGTCCCATTGTCATTAGGGTTTTATCTGATTGTTTCCTTGTGTTTCTTTTTTCAATGTACCCAAGACAGTATTTCATCCTTGTGTTTCTTTATCTCTTGTATTTTCTATAAATTTGAAGTTAGATCCAAAGGCTTGATTGATTCACATTTGGTGAGAATATTTCATAAATGATGCTACGCTAAGCAGATTTTCGTAAGTTGATTTTATTTATAACTTTTATGTGGTAGAGAATATGCCTTCTGCATCCTGTGATACACTACTGGGTGACATAGAAGATATTGTGTCTCACGAAGATTCAAAACCACAAGATAGGCATTTTGTAAGAAAGGATGTTGTCCCGAAGGTACGAAGGCGAAATACCCAAAAATATTTGCAAGAGGAAGAAAACAGTCCACCAAGTGACAGGTAAGCTTTTTTCCTTGAAATTATATTAATTTTCTTTTTTCTTTTTTGAGACAGAGTCTTGCTCTGTCGCCCAGGCTGGAGTGCAGTGGTGTGATCTCGGTTCACTGCAACCTCCGCCTCCCGGGTTCAAGCGATTCTCCTGCGTCTGCCTCCCTAGTGGCTGGGACTACAGGCACACACCACCATGCCCAGCTATTTTTTGTATTTTTAGTAGAGACAGGGTTTCACCATGTTGGCCAGGCTGGTCTTAAACTCCTGACCTCAGATGATCTGCCCATCTCGGCCTCCCAAAGTGCTGGGATTACTGGCGTGAGCCACTGAGCATGGCCAAAATTATATTCACTTTCATTTCAGGGAGAGGCTGACACTACTGGTCTGTGTGATTATATATAATGTCTCTTCATTAGACTCTTTGAACTTTTGACAGGAAATACAAGTTGAGTATCACTTATCTGAAATGCTTGAGACCAGAAGTGTTTCAGATATCACATTTTTTTTGGACTTCGGAATATTTGTATTACATACTTTCCAGTTGAGTATTCCTAATCCAAACATCTGAAATGCTCCAGTGAGCATCCTTTGAGTATCATTTTGGTGCTCAAAAAGTTTCAGATTTTAGAGCATTGTGGATTTTGAATTTTTGAATTAAAGAAACTCAACCTATATGTTGATTTTTTTTTTGTTTGAATGATTTTAAATCTGGCAAGGTAATTGGTTAAGAAGAAATGAGATGTCACATTGGATGTTCCTAGAAGATAGCTTGGGGCAATAGGAATCTCTTTGATATTGCTGTAGTTGATATGTAAGTCTGTATTACTTCCAAATAAAATTTTTACTGGAGTTTGTGATTCTTATGAGACAGTAGTATTTTGGACATTTGAATTTTCTTAGCTGATTTTCAAATACCTATGGATCAGGTAAAGGCGGTGGGCACAAATAAATTATTGCACTATTTACACTATTATAGTAGATCTCTAGTCCGTGAAATTTTGATCTAACCTAACCAGAAAGGATAATCTAATTATATGGTTTTAATAAGCCTATATTTGTTTATCTAGTAAACTGCTGAAATTTATAATCTACTTATTTCGTTGGGAAACTAAGCTTTTAAGTTCTTTGAATTTAACATTTGCTTATATTTTAATGACTGAAGTTTATAAAATTTGTCCTAAATGTGTCCTTAAGGTAATTTCTATTTGCTTATAAATTATTAGAGTAATCCAAGTTGAAAGCCCCCCCTTTTTTTTCCCCTAAAAATACTACCTTTTTTTTAGAACTCTGATTTTATAGAGTGCTTTTAATAATGCCTTGGGATGACAGTTTTTAACTTTGATTAAGTTATTTATATCTATAAGTTTTAAGGAAGCTAAAGATTGCAACTAGTATATAGGAGTTTGTAAACAGACATACTTGTCTTTATTTGCTGTTGCTGCTAGAACCACTTTCTTTCCTATTGTTATTTTTATGTTCCTTTCTAGGAGTTGAACTTAGTGTTAGTAAGTTAGTGTATGAATTTAAAATATAATTCAGAGAAAAAGGAGGTATTTTTTATGTAGAGTTTTCTTAGAATTCTGTGGTTATTTTATCTTGATTTTAGACTTTTGATGTAACAGCAGATTTTGAGTTAAGTTAGCGCATTTAATGAATAGCTCTTGAATGGATTGTAGTGAGTTTGTTTTTTGTGTAATATATCTTAAAATCACCTAGTGGTTTTTATTTTAAAAATTACTCAGTGAGGCTGGGCGTAGTGGTGGCTCACACCTGTAATTCCCGCACTTTGAGAAATAAGGTGGGAAGATCACTTGAGCCCAGGAGTTCAAGATCAGCCTGGACAGCATAGTGGGACACTGTCTCTACAAAAAATAAAAAAATTAACAGGTGTGTTGCTGCATGCCTATAGTCCCAGCTACTTAGGAGGCTGAGATGGGAGGATCCCTTAAGCCTGGGAGGTTGAGGTTGCAGTGAGCCGTGGTCACACAGCTGCACTGCAGCCTGGGCAACAGAGCAAGACCCTGGATCAAAAAAAATAAATCTCTCAATGAAACTTACTTTTTTTTTTTTTTTTTTATTGATTCCTTAACAGCACTATTCCAGGCATACAGAAAATTTGGATACGAACATGGGGTTGTTCTCATAATAATTCAGATGGAGAATATATGGCTGGACAGCTAGCTGCTTATGGCTATAAAATTACAGGTAATGAGATCTATAATATATTTTATTGATTAAATTTTTCAGAATTAAGTTTTTTAGAGATAAATATTTTAGCTTAGCAGTTAAAGGGTATTTTAGCATGACAATGATTTTTAAGGTGAAACACTGATAGCTATTACACATTGTGTAGATAACCATGGATGTCATATTTTTAAAAAACTTTTTAATTTGAAGTAAGTTTAGACTTTTGGAAAAGTAGTAAAATTACAGAGTTCACATATGCCCATCACCAAGCTTCCCCTGATACTAGCATCTTACATAGTTGTAATATCATTAATAAACCAGGAAATTAACCTTAGTGCATTTCTGTGATCTAAACTGTAGATCGTATTCGAATTTTACCAGTTTTCCCATTAACTTCCTTTTTCTCTCCCAAAATCTAATCTTGGGTCCCGCCCTACATTTAGTTTCATGTCCCCTTAGTTTCCTCCAATCTGTGACAGTTTCTTAATTTTTTTCTTGTCTTCTATGACCTTGACACTTCTGAAGAAAGCATTACCTTGATATTTCTGATGAAAATGATTATTATGTAGAATGTCTTTCAACTCGAATTTGTCTTTTTCTCATGATTAGAATGAGGTTCTGGATTTTTGGCAAGGAGAGCACAGAAACAGTACTATATTTTTCTCAGTGCATCATATCGGGGTCATGATGTCAGTGTGTCTTATACTGGTACACTAACCCATGTCTGCTGGGTTTCTCTCCAATATAGTAACTGTTTTTCTCATTACAGCTAATAAATATCCTATTTCTCCTCAACCTTTGGCCTGTTAATTTTAGTACCTACTGGTGGATCTTGTCTGCAACAGTTATTACTGTGTTGTTTACTTAATGGTGATTTTCTGCTATCTTATTTTCTTTACATTTTTATTTATTTATTTATCTTGAGATGGGGTCTCTCTTTTCTCCAGTCTGGAGTGCAGTGGCACGATCTCAGCTCACTGCATCCTCTGCCTCCCGGGTTCAAACGATTCTTCTGCCTCAGGCTCCCGAGTAGCTGGAATTACAGGCATATGCCACCACGCCTGGCTAACTTTTGTATTTTTAGTAGAGACGGGGTTTTACCATGTTGGCCAGGCTGGTTTCGAACTCCTGAGCTCAAGTGATCCACTCGCCTCGGCCTCCCAAAGTGTTGGGATTACAGGCGTGAGCCACCACGCCCAGCCTCCTCTTTACATTTATTAATTGGAGTTTTTCTCTAAGGAAGAGCTGTCCATTCTTCTCCATCTTAATTAATTAATTAATTATTATTATTATTATTATTTTGAGACAGAGTCTTGCCTTGTTGCCCAGGCTGGAGTGCAGTGTGGTGATCTCGGCTCACTGTAACCTCCGCCTCCCGGGTTCAAGGGATTCTCCTGACTCAGCCTCCCAAGTAGCTGGGATTACAGGCATGTGCCACCACACCAGGCTAATTTTTTGTATTTTTTGGAGATGGAATTTCACGATGGTAGCCAGGCTGGTCTCGACCTCCTGATCTCAGGTGATTTACCCGCCTCGGCCTCCCAAAGTCCTGGGATTACAGGCGTGAGCCACCGTACCCACCCATCTGAGTTATTTCTGTCAGTACAGACTCATGGATATTTATTTTATCCTGTGGATATAGTCTGATGCTATCATCATGTATTATGCTGCCTGTTGTTCCAATGTTGGCCATTAGGACCTTGTTCCGGCTGGCTCCTGTGTCTTTTCAGCATGCCCCCATCTTTTTTTTTGAGCACTTCTTTATTTCCTGGCACCATAAAATGTTCTAATTTCTCGTTATATTTTCCCTTCCCCAGCCTTGGAAGCAACCAATTTTCCAAGGAGTCCCGATTTTTTTCATTAAGAGAATGGCATTTAGAAAAGGGGATCTGGGCAGTCAATATGCTTGCTCATTGCCACCGTGAGATGTCGCTGCTGTGAGGTCCTCTTGGGGGATAGAGTAGGAATTATGTATGTATAGTAACCCGCACATAAGCACACATCTGTAGCTGTTTCTGTATCTGTCTGTTATGTGTACTAAATGAGACTATAATTAGAATGCTTTGTGACAGGCACTGACCCGGTGCTTTATGTATGTTATGTTGCTTGGTTCCTGGGTAGGAGGAAATATTGGCACCCCTACTTTACAGTTGAGAAAGGAGAGGTTGTGTCTTTTTTTTTTTTCTTTTTTGAGACAAAGTCTTGCTCTGTCGCCCAGGCTGGAGTGCAGTGGCGCAATCTCGGCTCACTGCAAGCTCCGCCTCAGAGTTCAAGGGATTCTCCTGGCTCAGCCTCCAGAGTAGCTGGGACTACAGGTGCCTGCCACCACGTGTGGCTAATTTTTTGTATTTTTAGTAGAGACGGGGTTTCACTGTGTTAGCCAGGATGGTCTCAATCTCCTGACCTGGTGATCCGCCTGCCTTGGCCTCCCAAAGTGTTAGGATTACAGGCATGAGCCACCGCGTCCGGCCTAAAATATCTTATGTTATTGATTTTGTATTTTTTTATAATGTATTCGTTAGTTGGCAAAATGAGTCTTAGTATTTCTGTCCTTTAAGTTAAAAATACTCAAAATATGCTTTCAGAATTACTTCCCCATATTCATTAGTAATTTTTAGTATAATTTAGCCTGGGTTTGCCTTACTGTATTCTGATGGTGTAGTTTGAGTGTTGAGAAAATAGAATTTATTTATTGATTTATATTTTTTTATTTTTGAAACGGGTCTCACTATGTTTGCCCAGGCTGGCCCCAAGCTCCTGGGCTCAAGTGGTCCTTCTACCTCAGCCTTCCCAGTAGCTGAGACTATAGTCGTGTGCCTGGCTAAGAAAATACCCTCAGAAAAAAAAGTAAAATAAAATTTAAAAAAGGCTGTGTGTGTTGGCTCATGTCTGCGGCAACCCCAGCACTTTGGAGGCCAAGGTGAGAGGATGGGAGGGTCACTTGAACCCAGGAGTTTAAGACTAGTGTTGGCAACATAGTGAGACCCTGGCCCTGCAAAAATATTTAAAAAGTAGCCAGGCGTGTTGGTCTTCACCTCATAGTCCCAGCTAGTTGAGAGGATGATGTGGTAGCATCGCTTGAGCCTGAGAGGTAGAGGCTGCAGTGAGCTGTGATCATGCACTGCACTTCAGCCTGGGCAACAGAGCAAGATCCTATCTCAAAAAAAAAAAAAGTTCCTAAGATAATTTCCTAATACATTAAGGAAAATCAGATATTAACTTTTTCTATGTCATATTAAATATTTAATACATTTTAATTAAATTTTAATCCATTAGCAGTTTGTGTTTGGTGTTGTAACAGTACTCGTCTGTATAAAATAACAGTCCTGGTATGTTTATACAAGAATATTAGGTTTTGTTATATACACCTAATTTTGTTTCTTATTTGGGAATAGTTAAAAAGAGAAAATAAGGAAGTAATTACTTGAATGTGAAAATTCTTTCGCTAATGTAGCATAGTCTGTTACTTTTATATATTGTATTAGATATATTTGTATTAATTTTATAAACTATTGATTGTTCCTACTTTAGAAATTCATAGTTGTTGATTCCAGCCTGGCTTGCATGCAGCAGACTGTGGGGAATACGTTCTTCATTAATCTAGGTGCTATAAGCCCAGGAAATATAAACAGAATTAGCTTTGATAAGACATTTGAGAAGGAAATCTCTACAGCTTTTATATTTAAAGATTTGATATGAATGACTTCTGGATTACCTATGCCAGTAGTCACTTTCATTACTGTGGAAGAATGAGAATTTATAAAGTTTATTATGGCTTACTAATTGATATGTTTTTGTTAGTCAAATGGAAACCTAAAATATTAAATGTATAATATAAAATAGGTATAAAATATAGATTATGTATGATATATATGGAGATTATTGAAAACAGATTGCAGATACATTATATCAAAATTAGTTCTCAGTAGTCATAGATATTTTTACTATTTGGGGAAGAAAGATTATGTGGGTATATATTTGAAATTGCCGCTTTTAAATATGCAAATTCAGGATATAATTATTCTGTATTAAAACTTCATAAGGCCAGGTGTGGTGGCTCATGCCCATAATCCCAGCACTTGGGGGGCTGAAGAGGGGCAGATAACCTGAGATCAGGAGTTTGAGATCATCCTGGCCAACGTGACAAAACGCCATCTCTACTGAAAATACAAAAATTAGCCAGGTGTGGTGGCACATGCCTGTAATCCCAGCTACTTGGGAGGCTGAGGCAGGAGAATTGCTTGAACCCAGGAGGCAGAGGTTGCCGTGAGCTGAGATTGCCCCACTGCATTCCAGCCTGGGTGACAGAGTGAGACTCTGTGTCAAAAAACAAACAAAACAACAACTTCATAAAGCGAACTGTCAGAGCAGTTTGCTGTTGTTCATTGCCTCTTTTCAAACCCTTTTTTATTTTGAAGAAAAAGGTGGCTCATAACTTTTTTGTGATGTAGTCTCACTCTGCCGCCCAGGCCAGAGGGCAGTAGCATCATCTTGGCTCACTGCAGCCTCTGCCTTCTGGGTTCAAGTGATTCTCCTGCCTCAGCCTCTTGAGTAGCTGGGCTCACAGGTGTGCGGTACCATGGCTGACTAATTTTTGTATTTTTAGTAGTGATGGGGTTTTGCCATGTTGGCCAGACTGGTCTCTAACTCCTGGCCTCAAGTGATCTGCCTGCTTTGGCCTCCCAAAGTGCTGGGATTACAGGCATAAGCCACTGTGTTCAGCCAGCTTTTAAATAAACTATTACAAAATCGTGCCTGCTTGTCTCTCATTCAAGGAATAAAACCTACTGAGGAGAAATGATGTTAGCCCCTAAAACTCAGAACAATTACTTGTATTGTGGGTACATGGATGTGTGATATCATTAGATTAGCATCTTGGGAAACAGTTAAACTTTCCTGTGAGCACCATGGCTTTTTAAAGAAATGAATGTGTTCTCTAAGTAGGCAGTTTTTATAGATTAAACTTTTTTTTTCCAGTAATAATTATTGTTTTTGTATTATTTCTTTGGGAGATGTTG